TCTTCTTTTTTTTTTTTTTTAACATAAAATGTATTATTTGTTTCAGAGGTACAGGTCTGTGATTCAATAGTCTTACACAATTCACAGTGCTCACCATAGCACATACCCTCCCCAATGTCTATTACCAGCCACCCCATCCCTCCCACCCCCCACCACTCCAGCAACCCTCTGTTTGTTTCCTGAGATTAAGAATTCCTCATATCAGTGAGGTCGTATGATACATGTCTTTCTCTGATTGACTTATTTCGCTCAGCATAATACCCTCCAGTTCCATCCATGTCTTATTTTAAAATACCATTAACAAGTCACTATGCTAATGGAAACTTCTCCAAATTTTGTGGTTCTTCTATAGTGTGATACATTCCAAAATTTTATAAAATGTGATAGTGTATATTTGAAGCAGGCTTTAATGGAAAAACTAATTCAAAACAGGCTCAAGAAATGTGCAGAACAATTAAATCTTGCTTACCATTTTTGCTTCTGACTGTACTGGTTGAGGGGAGGAAGGACCTGGAATTCCTGGAACACTAGGCACCATGGTGACTGGTCGAACAAGCTATGTAAAATATATTGAAAAGTAATTGCTAGAGAATATATTCAAAATGATTGTGCTATATCTGCACAATGGCTATAAAAATTTGAGAGTTCTGAACCAGAAAACTGTAAATCCCTATTGATCTTCTGTCCTGATTTATCCTTTAAAACTTGTCAATTTCTGAGACACTTGCTTCTCTAATCTTTAATTTTCACCATTTTTTTGAATGGATTCTTCTTCTATAGGACTCATAATATTCAAAGTAATTGACCAAAATTTCCCAAAGATCTGTCACACTGCCATTTTGGATGTGAAAGGAAAAAATGTCAAAACTTGTGACAATTAGGCATACAAGTAACTTCACAATGAATTTTCTAAAATACACATATATATGCAATTTCTAAAATATATAAAGGTTCCTTGATATACTAATATACTAAATGATGACAAAGAACCTAGTTACCTCTAATAATTTCTCTAAAAATAATAATCTGGAACAGATTTTTTTCATTTTTTAAAAAACCCAATATTAACATTGAGTAATTATTATATAGCTAAAGTATCTCTCCTCTTTCATTTCAGTTTTTTTCATCACATTTACATTTAACAGGATACCATATAATCTCAAAAAAGGGCAAGAATGTTTCCCCCTTCAAAAATATCCTAGAAAAGAGGAAGTAATCACCTAATATCTGAGTCCTTATAAAGTCACTCAACGCATTTTGAACAGCAAAGTTCTGTCTGAAGATGATACATTATCTTATAATTATTCCAATCAATGTTAATTTTCAATAACAGGTTACTTGGAATAATGTGTTAATAAAAAAGTAAATATTTCACATAAATTTTAATAATTTTCCTGGGGTTCTAATCTCATCAAAGTATTGGAAGTTATTTTACGTAGACTTTTAAAAATAACTTTTAAGGGGCGCCTGGGTGGCTCAGTTGGTTAAGCAACTGCCTTCGGCTCAGGTCATGATCCTGGAGTCCTGGGATCGAGTCCTAAATCAGGCTCCCTGCTCAGCAGGGAGTCTGCTTCTCCCTCTGACCCTCCCCCCTCTCATGCTCTCTCTCTCAAATAATAAATAAAATCTTAAAAAAAATTTTTTTAAGAGCTATACAATAAATTATATTGTACAGATCAGAAATATCTATCTATAAGGTAAAAAAAGAAACTGTCTTTTTATTATATGAATGAGTATTAGGGCTTGGGTGAGATTTCTAGGAAGATACAGACTCCGAAAGTGTTATGTCAAAATTACTCAGGTGAGAATAAAAATAACATGTTCTGGAAAATTGTGCTAGATGTTTTAAAAAGTGATCCTAATGAGGAAAACCTGAACACTGAAGACACATTTGAAGAGTTTGAATAAAACTGTTTTATGAAAAATGAGAAAAGAAAGTATTATTTCTAACTTATTCAAAAGAACGTGCTTTTAAATATTCACTGAATTATTAAGTATTACAAGTAGATATTTAACTTGTCTGTGACTTCCAAAATTTATATATTTAACATGCTCCTCAAGAAACTGCTCTTTTGGAACTTATATCCTGATTTATCTTTCAAAAATGGTCAATTTCTGAGACATTTGCATTAGCAAAGTGAAGGACTATCCACTGGTTTAGAGTGTTTAGATTTTCACATGCCTGGGCAAGCAAAGGAATGCTGTAAACCGAACCAGACCATACAAGTTCACAAGAGTGTTCTTATGGACAATTCCTACAATAATCAAAATATGGAATTACTGGACATGTGCTCTAGTATAAATATCTCTCTAAATAATGGAAATTTGTGTTAATATTTGAATTCTACAATCTAGTCAAATTGAAGTGGATTAAATAAGGATTAAATTTCTTAATTTGAACAATACAAGGAAAACAAAATTTGGGGAGGATGGAAAAACATTTTCTAACAAATTATGTTTGTTTTTAATAAAGAGATGAGTAAATACTACTATAAAGATGAGTAAATACTACTAACCTAACCACTAATAAGTTTTTTGTTGGATTCAGTTTCATAAACCAATCAAGCAGCCCTAGGTGTATTTTCTGATTACAAAGATCAGTTTTGCCATGAAGAAAAGACTTAAAGAGTCTGAATCTCAAACTTACTGGGACTGCAGCTGGAACATGCACATTAGAACTCGTAATTGATGCAGGAATAGCAACAGGCATGGTCTGTCCATTAGGAAGATGCAACAGAAGAGGAAATGGGCCTGGTACAGGACTAAGAAAAACAGAGGAAGGAAAGTTAAAGATAAGAAATCTTTATTAGTCATCTCTAAAAATACAAGAGTATTTTTACTCCTATTATCATATCATTTTAAAATACATTTCCTAGCCACATGCAAAGCAAACTGCAAAATTTTACTGTCTTTAATTGTATCTTAAATGCATAATGTATAAAGCAGTGTGGAAAAACAAGAGGGGAAAAAATAGGAAAAGTTATGGTTTTACTTGGGACAATCTCCAATGTTAAATGAGACAAATTTATGCAGCATGCGACTCTTGATCATGGGGTTATGAGTCTGAGCCCCACCCTGGGTGTAGAAATTCCTTAAAAATAAAATGTTAAAAGAAAAGCTTGAGAGAGATGTGTAAGAACTGAAAGAAATGTCATCTGATGGAGTAATTTTACGTATTTTGTGTGAAACAGCATGAAAATAAGAAACCACCTTAAATTGACATTTAATGTTGATTTGTTTTTAAAATTAAATTTTAGTTGAGGTGCCTGGGTGGCTCAGTTGGTTAAGCGTGTGGCTCTTAGATTTTGGTTCAATCATGATCTCAGGGTTGTGAGATCGAGCCTCAGGTCAGGCGTCATGCTGAGCGTGGAGCTCACTTAATTCTCTCTTCTCTCCCTCTGCCCCACCCAATTAAATTTTAGATATTTATTTTCTAATCTATAATATAAAGAAAAAAAACAACACAAGTTCTTTTCAAAGCATGCAGAATATGATACACACACACACACAAAGACAGACACACACACACACACACACACACACACACACACACACACACACAACTAAGGCCACATTTGAATAATTAAATGCCTGAAGAAAAATTCTGACAAGAAAAGCCTAATTCATAAACAGTTCAACGTCTGGCCCAAATCATCACTTACACAATTGGCCTGTTAGAGGATGGTGCCTGGGTGATTACAGTACTTGACGTTGGTGAAGGTACTGCTTGCTGAATAATTACACTTGAGTCAGAACTTGTAAGCAGCACATTGGGAACTTGTAATGATGCTGGACGAACAATAGCTGATGTGGGCTGTGCAGTTTGTGCCAATGGTACCTCCTATTTAATAATGAGACAGAGAAAGGGTGGGATTTAAAAACTGAAGTCTATTATGTACCTTAGAGTGAACAGAAAAGCATCTACAGAATAATATCCTTCCACAAAGTAAATTCATGTCCAAAGTTATTTAAAAGAAAATTTTGGAAGTAGCTATAAAGTTTCAAATGCAATGTTCATATTTTAATTTAAAAACATCTGAGTGGTTTTTTGTTGTTTTTTTTTTTTCCAGTACAACTCGTTTTCCTATCAATCCAGAAATAGGCTGGGCAACTTGGCTATGATTCCATGAGAACTTCTGTAAAAAGTAAAAATATAATCCATTCTCATTGAATTGTACAGCTTAAAATTTAGGAGAGATTGCCTAGTCCTACTCCATCATTATACTGTAAAAAGAGGAAACAGGTCCAGAGAGACTGGGTTTATGGTTGATACAAATTCAGTAATAGAAATGGTTAAAAAAATTTTTAACACAGTACAAATGTTTACTAATCTCAGGCAGCTACCACCCCCACTACCAATAATTTCTCAATGTCAAAAGGCCAAGTAATACTGATTAATATTCTGAATGTAAAATAATTAGTAAAGTGAAATCTTTCCAAATTAAAGGAAAACAGAATCTGCGAATTAGCGAGCACCTTAAACATGGTGTTTTCCCCAGTTTTACAGATTAGGAAGAGATTAAGGGCTTTACCTAGAACTCCTTAACTAGTTAGAGTAAAAACTGAGTCTACTATGTTCTTTGAATTCATCTCTATGCTACTTATTATCAAAATCTTATTAAGTTACCTAGGAAGAAAGATCAAATAGTACTATTGGAACTTTACTTATTCAACAAGTTTGAGAATTTATAGCATGCCCTCAAGGGCTACTGGGAAGAGACAATAAATAAGTAAAACCAGAAAATTTCAGATAGTAATATGTTACAGAGTAATAGTACAACATAATAAATCATGAAAGATTAACTGAGGGAAGGTTGGAGTTGGCTACTTCAGAAAACAAGTGAGATAAGGTGAGCTTCTTTGCAAAAATGGTGCTGAATGAACTGATACTAAAAAGATAACAAGGGGAGAAGTCTATCGAGGGAGAGGGAAGAATACCAGGAGTAATGTCTTTGAGGCAGGAAAAAACTTATAATAACTGATGAACATATTACAGTGGCATGAGGTAAAGGCTGAATGGGTAGACAAGCTCAGATCAATGAGGCCTTATGAAAGGAGTATTAGTTATCTTTTTTTTTAAGATTTATTTATTTGAGACACAGAAAGATAAGAGTGTGTGCAGAGTGTGGAGCCTAATGTGGGGCTCGATCCCAGAACCCTGATATCATGACGGGAGCCAAAACCAAGAGACACCCAGGAGACTTCACCACCCAGGCGCACTAAGGAGTATTAGTTATCTTAAAAGTAATGGCAAACCACTGAAGGATTTTAAGCAGAAAAGTGATTATAATGTATTAAAAACAAAGCCATCTACAGAAAATTGGAGATGGAAATAGAAAGTCCAGTTAGAAGATAACTGTTAATAATCCACGTAAAAGATGATGATGGCTTGGAGTAAAGTGGTGACACTGAAGACTGAAGAAGATAAATTAAGGATATTTCAGGAGGTATGTCTGATAAGAGCTGCTGTTGCTTTTGTGTGAAGAAAAAGAAGAGGGGGTGCCTGGGTGGCTCAGTCGGTTGAGCATTTGACTCTGGCTTAGGTCATGATCTCGGGGTCCTGAGATCAAGCCCTGCATCCCAGGCTCCCCGCTCAGTGGGGAGTCTGCTTGTTCCTCTCCCTCTGCCCCCCCACCCTGCGCTCTCTCTCTCTCTCAAAAGAAATAAAATCTTTTAAAAAAAGAAAGAAAGAAAAAGAAGGAATTAAGGATTCTTGGCTTGAGCAACCAGATGGGATGGAGAGAAAATTTACTAAGATAGGGGAGGGTTCCTGTTGGGGAGGAGCAAGATGGGGGAGGAGCAAGATTTTGGAGGAGTAGGAGACCCAAATTTCATCTGGTCCCAGGAATTCAGCTAGATATTTATCAAACCATTCTGAACACCTACAAACTCAGGAGATTGAAGAAAAGAATAGCAGCAACTCTCTGAAGAGAAAAGCAACTAGTTTCTGGAAGGTAGGATGTGCGGAGAAGTGAATCCGAGGCGATATTCGGAAGACAGACAGTGGGGGGAGGGAGCCTCTGTCAGCCGGCTACCTGCAAGTGATAGAGCAGTGGAGCACAAATCAGAACTTTTACAAGTCTGCTCCACTGAGGGATGTTGCTCCAGTGGCTAAGCGGGGGGTGGAACCCTCTCTGGGACAGTGTGGTCTCAGGACCCTCAGGATCACAGAAAGACCAGGGGTGCCTGAGTGCGGCGGAGCTCCCAGGTATCGGAGCGGGGAAGCCGGCTGCACAGACGGAGCTGAGGAGTGGGCTTTCAGCTCAGGGCTGCCATAAACCGTGATAAGCGGCACAGTCGGGCCATTGCTCTTCCAGCAGGGACCCAACAAGTGGCAGATCCAGGGAGACTCCCCTTCCTCCCCCGGGGAGGAGCAGCGTGGGAGTGCACCGCAGGGATCTGCTGGGTTTGGAGACTCCAAATGGGGTCATGTGCCAGAGCTAGAAACACTCGGTCACAGGCCGGGTGAGCATGGACTGTGGCCAGAGACTGGGAAACGGGAGTGACTGCTTTTCTCTGAGGGCTCACTGAGGGGTGGGGCCCTGACTCCTTGGCTCCGGGGCAGAGACTGGGAGGCCACCATTTTCACTCTCGTCCTCCAAAGCATTACTGAAAGATTTCAGGGAACAAAAGCTACCAAGAGCAAACCCCAGCAGATTACTTAGCATGGCCCCTGGCAAGGACAGTGCAATTCCACCTCCGGCAAAGACATGTGAGAATCACTGCAACAGGCCCCTCCCCCAGAAGATCAGCAAGAACATCCAGCCAAGACCAAGTTTACAGATCAATGAGAATGGCAAAATCCCAGCGCTAGGGGAATAGAGCACATAGAATTCATGGCTCTTTTCCCATGATGCTTTAGTCTTTCAAAGTTAATTTAAAATTCTCTTTATTTTATTCTTTTTCTATTTTTTTAGCTGAATTTTCTTTTTTCCTTTTTCAACCAACATCTTACCAATTCCTTTCTTAAATCTTTTTTAATTTTTCAGTTTTACACTCATATTCTATCTCGTCATTGTATTTAACCCTTTGTATATATATTTTTCTTTCTTTAAAATTTTGGGATACAGTTTCCTCTAACAGACCAAAATATACCCTAAATCTAGTGTATGCTGATGTTTAGTCTCCCATCTGATCACATTCCTTTTTTTCATTGTTTTTCATTCTTTTTTCAAACAACTTATCAATCCCTTTTTAAAAACCTTTTTTATTTTTCATCTTTACAGTCATATTCCATTCCTTCATTGTATTTACCCTTATTTTTGTATATATGTAAGTTTTTCCTTGTTTAAAATTTTGGGAGGCAGTTTCTTTGAACAGACCAAAATATGCCCAAAATCTAGTGTGTGGCTCTGATCTATTCACCAGCCTGATCATATTCTTTTTTTTTCCCCTTTTTCTTTCCTTTTCTTTCCCTCCCGGTTTCAGGTCTCTTCTGATTTGTTTAGTGTATATTTTTCTGGGGTTGTTGTTACCCTGTTAACATTTTGTTCTCTCATTCATCTATTCTCCTCTAGACAAAATGACAAGACAAAAAACTCACCTCAAAAAAAATAACAAGAGGCAGTACCAACTGCCAGGGACCTAATCAATAGAGACATTAGTAAGATGTCAGAACCAGAGTTCAGAATGATGATTATAAAGATACTAGCTGGGCTTGAAAAAAGCATAGAATATACCAGAGAATCCCTTTCGGGAGAAATAAAAGAACTAAAATCTAACCAAGTTGAAATGAAAAGGGGCTCTTAATGAGGTGCAATAAAAAATGGAGGCCCTAACTGCTAGGATAAATGAGGCAGAAGAGAGATTTAGTGATACAGAAGACCAAATGATGGAGAATAAAGAAGCTGACAAAAAGCAACTACTGGATCACAAGGGCAGAATTCAAGGGATAAGTGATACCATAAGACGGAACAACATCAGAATAATTGGGATCCCAGAAGAAGAAGAAAGAGAGAGAGGGACAGAAGGTATATTGGAGTAAATTGTAGCAGAGAATTTCCCTAATTTGGGGAAGGAAACAGTCATCAAAATCCAGGAGGCACAGAGAGCCCCCCTCAAAATCAATAAAAATAGGTCAATACCCCAACATCTAACAGTAAAACTCACAAGTCTCAGAGACAAAGAGAAAATCCTGAAAGCAGCTCAGGACAAGAGGTCTGTAATCTACAATGGTAGAAACATTAGACTGGCAGCAGACCTATCCACAGAGATCTGGCAGGCCAGAAAGGACTGGCATGATATCTTCAGAGCACTAAATGAGAAAAATATGCAGCCAAGAATACTATACTCCAGCTAGGCTGTCAATGAAAATAGAAGGAGAGATAAAAAGCTTCCAGGACAAACAAAAACTAAAAGAATTTGCGAACACCAAAGCAGCCCTACAAGAAATGTTGAAAGGGGTCCTCTAAGCAAAGAAACAGCCTAAAAGTAACATAGACCAGAAAGGAACAGAGACAATATATAGTAACAGTCACCTTACAGGCAATACAATGACACTAAATTCATATCTTTATCAATAGTTACCCTGAATGTAAATGGGCTAAATGCCTCAATCAAAAGACACAGGGTATCAGATTGAATAAAAAAAACAAGACCCATCGATATGCTGTCTGCAAGAGACTCATTTTAGACCTAAAGACACTTCCAGATTGAAAGTGAGGGGTTGGAAAACCATTTACCATGCTAATGGTCATCAAAGGAAAGCTGGGGTGGCAATCCTAATACCAGACAAATTAGATTTTAAACCAAAGACTATAATAAGAGATGAGGAAGGATACTACATCATACTTAAAGGGTCTATCCAATAAGAAGATCTAACAATTTTAAATATCTATGCCC